ATAGCAGTACGACATAGGAAGAGTCATACCAAGTCAGGGCAAAGGTTTGTTTAGCCCAATGTCAAGTATTGGTAGTTTAGAGCCTTAGTTTGACAATGTTTCTAAAAACCCTTGTGTTTATTAGCCACTTATGGACCTTGCTGCTGTGATTTTGTACAATCCCTTTTTAACCCCTTTTGCACTTCCCAGCCTCTGCCCTGCCTGTGCTGTCAGGTTCTGCAGTTCAGTTCAGCGCTGCCGAAACACACTTGCCTGTATTGAAACTACCCTGACAAGTTTGTTGTGCACATCTCAGTACCTGAGTTATGAGGGAGTGAAAAATCACTCCTTGTCCACCCTTTCTGCATCATTCACCATTAGGTTGACTTCTGCACAACTTGCACTTTTCAAATGGGTATTTCTAGCCCACTTAGTCTGTCACCAACAAAAACTGCTCCGTATTCTTCCAGATCCTTACCACCCTCTGCATTGTGTCTCACCATCTTCAGAAAGAAAACTGAGCAAGTTCTAGAATACGTTACTTTTTAATCTGAAAGGAAGATACTTCCTACTTAAATGAGTGTTGAGAAGCAAATGTCTCAAGGGGCCGTAAGAATCTGACTCGTCTCACTGCATTTAATGTTTCTGTTCAGTATCTCTTCACATGTGATACACACAATGACAATGAGCCAGGCCATGTTATCGCTTCTTGGGATCTATTCAGTCCTGCAGTTGGACCCTTCTGCAGCACAATCTTGCCTTTTTCTGTGCGTGGAGAGTTGTGGTGCTTGAATAGAGCTTTCCAAGAAGAGCAGCGCTTTTATTATGTTTGCCCATGGAGCCATAAAGCACATTAGCTGTGTTGTTTAAAGCTGTCTGTAATTTCAGCTATTTTCAGATCTTGCCTGTGGGCAGGTGGACATAAAGGCCCTGCCCACTCAGAGTCCCAGTTCTGCAGAGGCTGGAGAACAACTGCAAATTTACACACGGGGAACCAAAGCAATGAGCTGCAGCATAAGCTTGTCCATCGTTAAGGTTGAGTCCATAATCCTTTGTCCTAGCAGTGACGAGCATGATAGAAGCTTCTCCAAAAGGTTTGCTAAGACTGCCTCCAACACAGAGATTACTATCTAAATCTATGAGCATCCAGGTGCATGCATTAATGTGAGGATATAAAAGCTGCATAAACTTTGATGAGTTTTTACAGCTTCACTTCAGCATCTCTTTCCTTTACTTTCTACATTTCCATGCTCTCTACCCTCTTCACTGTGACCCATCCCACCTTCCAGGATATTCATTCAAGAAACAAGAGAGATTTTAACTACAAAGTGGCTGAATTGCTAACAAAGGTCATGAAAACACTCATTACAAGCAACACCTACAAGGATGCTGGAAGGGTAGCAAATATTTTACCAGTTTTTGAAAGACTGGCAGGACAATTACAGGCTTCTAAAGCAAGCATTTATTGAAGTGTTAATTATAACACTTAGCGAACAAGTGCCAAGCCAGGACAGAGGTAATTCAGCTCTGGTAAAACAAAATAATGTCTTACTCTGATAGGACTTTTAATCTTTTTCAGACATTCAAACTGCATGTGTCAGAGTTCCTCACAGGAACATAACAACTTGGTAATTACGGGATGATCAGTCACATTTTACTTACAAAACTAGTGTTTGTAAGATCAGAAGCATTTTGGTTACCATACAATTCATCAACAGGAAAATTCCAGCCTGAACAAACCATACTGGAAAAAGAACAGACTACTAACTTGGTGTCTTGGGACAAGAGACAGACTAAGAACTTCTCAGCAGAGCGATGGGAATGGGCAGAATGAGGTGACAGGACTACAGCACAGGGTGAATCAAAGCTCCGTGCCTGGAGCAGAGCTCCTGATCTGCTCCATGTGAAGGGCTACCTCAAGGAAATATCCCTGAAGAACAGAGACATGCTTGGTTCTAAATTGAATTAAAGGGAGTTTACACACAGAATATTAGTGAGATTAGTCATCCTAAGAAGTCTTTGGAAAGAACGGCTGGTGAATTGGCTGACATTGCCCATGAGCACTTGTGACTGACTGTACTTAATAAGCACAGAGCTACTAATGCCTCCTGGGCTGTGACCCAACTTGCCCTGACACAAGCTACTTTTTCCTGTTTACTTAGTGTTACATTCTGCATCACTTCTGCTTGCTTGAGTTAGCTAACTTGAAGCTGACAGTGAGAGTTCTCCTTAAGACAATCAAGGGCCTCACTAGGTCCTCATTCATACAATGATTCCCTCCTTCCTGAGGGATACATACTGTTTCTTGCCATTCCCCCAGGCTTTTGGAGAGCAGGTGCCAGACATCATCAGGCAGCACCCCTGTGAAGATGGGGTGCAGTGCTTGCCTGGCCTGTAAAACTAGGGCTAACACAAGCGTTCCTGCTATGAGGACCTTTACATGTCCTGCTATATTGAAGGTACCAGTATTTCAAGATTTTTTTTGGCTCCTAAAAGCAGATTAACCAACCACCCAAAACATCAAAAGACTGTCATGAAAGAAATATCTTAATACATGGTAATTTTCTATGTTATAAACATTAAAAACAAACCATCAATAATGACTCTCAGATTTTCTTTTTCACTTCACAATAGTGGAATGTTCCAGAAAAGGGAACTTCAAGCAGTCAATCAGCTTTGCAGTCCCATTTTAATATGCCTGTTACAAAAGTGAGTTTTGAATTCCCCTTCTCTCGCTTTGCTTTAACATTACACCATTTATAATCCCCTTGATTTTCCTTAGAAACATTAGTACTGTTTGGGCTCATGAATGTGCAAGTCTGTCTTTAGGTTTCAGATAGTAACTGCCTTGCTGAGTCATCTAAAAATAAATTTAATATAGAACAGTATTCACATCTTGTTTTCAGAAATTCTCTGATCCTCCACTTGAAAAAAATCTTAAATTTTTTAGTTCATGGAATAAAAGGTCACTTCTGTCATGCTGCTGCTAGAACTGCATTTCATTAGTTAGGTCTCAAATGTCAGAGTTTTAGTAAATTACTGTTTCGTTGCTTTCAAAACTATGAAGACAGCAATCAGAAGTCTAATGCTTACTAATACCTTGAGAATCCTTGCAGTAAAACCCAGCGCTAACAGCAAGAGAAAAGATGGACTTTAAGACAGTTACTACTGCAATTGTCAGACCAGAAGTAAAAGTAAAGTCCGAGTAAGCAAGCAATGAATGAGCTGATGGCTCCCAATGTCTAAATAAGACAGAAGCCTACAAATGCAACACAGCACGGACCCAAAGCTAATAGTCTTTGCCTGACTATTCTGCCTCCACAGGGCCTGAGGAGATGTGAAATATCACCAGTTTGAAATTGGAAGTGATAGGAGTATGTTGCAAGATCTTCGAAGAATTTGATAATGACATATATTTTGTGATAGCATCAAAGTTCCCAATCACATGAAGTGTCCATTGCAAAGCATTTTTCATTTGCATGAAACTTAAGAGACTTGAAAATTAACTTCATCTGTGGAAGCATGTCAGGACAGAATATGAAAAAAATTAAAATGTTTAAGCTGCCTTTTAGTACAACTGACTGCACATACTATTCAGGTGACAAAATTATGACACCTGTGCTTAAAATAATCCTGTACTGAGTTTGCAAAGAGGAAGAAGGCACAAAAGGTTAAAGAAGAATGTTTTTATTCAATTTTCAATTCTCACAGTTCTAAACAGTAAACATAATTAACAATTCACCCATGGTAATGGAAAACATAATCCTGGTATCAGTAAAATGGTTACTGCTTAAGGCACTGATAGTGGGAAGAAAAAAAGAAAAAACATAACACGGATTGCTCCTATTCAATCAGAATTTCAATCTATTATTAATATGTGCTTGCTATTCAAATGCCTAAAATTCCACAACCTACATTCACAAACATGTTTATACAACTTCAGTAATTACTGAAACAGGAATCAGTGGCTCCCCTACTTCCACTTAAGAGCAAGTATTGCATTACTTTGGAGTGGAATCAATTTTTAACCTACTAAAAGAATACAAAACACAAATTACTTCAGCTGTATGGCTTCAAGGACCTGTATTTGGTTACAGTATAGCAAGCAAAGTTAAATAACAGCATGCAAGTGCCATATACTGTCATCTTAAAAGGAGCAGTTTTACAGTATAAAAATTAGTTTAGAACATACTAAAGCCAGTTTTTGTACAAATATTTTTACAAAACTGAATTACTCAAAGAAAAAAAATCAAGAACATTTTAAATATGAATCACTCTTTACATGTTGTATGCATAAAATTTTACTTGAGGATATAAATTAGGAATACTACAAACTTTTTAAAGCTGGCATCCATATACTACTGAAATGCACACATCAGAAATACTGAAGTGTTAGTTCTGCAAAAATCCTTAAGAATCACATTTATACTTGCCAAATAGATACACAGTGACTTAGGTTTCCAAAGGAGCCACAGTGACCTCCTGTGGTGGCCACTTAAGACATCCCTTTTGTTCAATTTTGAACATGACATTCCTCACGAATGGTAAAAAAGGTACAACAGTGGTTCATGCTTGGTCCATCTGCCCCAGGAAACTACAACATTACAGTTTGAAATGAGTAGAAAGGAACTTGGCCTTCACACAATCTAGCTCCTTGGTCACAGGAGTCACGTCTCCGCTCTGATTTACCAAGAACCTGTTCCAGAACAGTTTAGAGAACTGGTTTCTGTAGGTCAATGAGAGATGATGTTCAACACATCATTGGCTCCCAAATACATCACTTCAGCTTTTGAGAGAACAAAGGAAGGAAATGCAAATTGATGCTGAGTCAAAGTCCAAATCTGAACACAGATAAAGTTGTATGAGACATTTTAAATGTGTGTCAAGTTCATTGGTACAAAGCCCAAAAACATTTCAAAAAGGAACCAAGTGTAACAAAAGAATCCAAAAGTCAATTAGGTGTCATCTTCTATTGCTCTGAAGGAACGTAACAAACAGGAACAAAACACTGTCTTCTATGTCACAAACAGATGAACAACGTGAGAACACCACAAAAATCACAGTAGTGACTGTCTTTCATCTACAGTACATTAATCAACACTTACATTCTTCTACTGCTTATAAATCCTCTCTGCTGTACTCAACTTTCTTTCCATTAAGTGACTCTTCTGTGTTTGGTGCCAGCCATGTGAAATACACCTTCACTGGATCAATATTCCAATGCTTGTGAAATGATACTGGAATTTGGTGAGAAAGGTAGCCTTTTGGGTAGTCCATTGGCCTTGCCTAAGATGTAAGAATAAACCAAAACCACTAATTCTCAGTGATGAAGGATAATTCCAGAACAAGAAAGCATCACTGTTCAACGGCCTCTGTATCACAACAAAGCAACGTGGCATAGACAAGATATACAAGATGATAACAAAGCAGTTTTTACATCATTCTATTAAAAATCAATTCATAGTTTTTACTTTAGATCTTCAACTCACGCTGCAGTCATCATGCTATAATGTACACTAATATTAAATATGCCCTATTTATGAGCATGAAATGGTCATCATCTATGAAAGCAAGTGATAAAAAGTGTAATTTGTATTGCATCTTTTAAAATATACAGCCCTATATATATTATGTATATATAATCATTATCATTCAATAATGACAAAATGACTTTAAGCAATATTCTCTTGCTCCTCCTCTTAATAAAAGTTGCCAGCACTGTCAATGTGACTGCAGGATTCTAAAAAGGCCATAAGCAGCTGAACTACGTGAAGTTTTATGATGGGGAAAGGTTACCAGACACAGGAAATATCGTGGTGCTGGAAAAGTGCAGTTATTCTTTATCAGGTTCTATCAAAAGAGACAGAATTACAGCACAGCCACATGATGCAGCTGACTACTTAATGCACCAAACATGTTTCATTTCCTCTGACAGTTTAATAGCATGTAAGTGCATCAGTATATAAAAAAGCCCTCCTTGTAGTGGTCCCTGGTAAAATAAGTAGATTTTGCCATTGTAAACAGAGTTTTTGTAAGGAGAAATGCATGAAAGGCACACACTTTTTTTTTGTAAAACACAAGAAGAAAATTGAGTCATTTGGATACTGAATCACGGATTTGACGCCTAAGCTAGGAACTGATTTAATACTGCACACTTCACCTACTTATAGCAGTACTAATGAATTCTACATGCTGCATTCTTCATGCAGTTCCGCATACACTCCAGTCATAAAATCAGGCAACAGAATTTGACATTAAGAAATTAAATATGTGTTGTTGATGGGGTTTTTAGAATTTATTTTGATATTTAAACCACAGAGTGCTTAGTTTTTAAAAAATCCACTGGAGAAATCAAGGGGGAGCCCATCTCCCTCAAGACTTTTGAAAAAACAAACAAACAAAAAAAACCCAAACCCAAAACTTTAAAAAACAGTTAGGTTTCAAAAACAGGAAAATAAACAGATATGTTTTTTTATATGGACAAGGAATTAAAATACTGAGTAGTGCGTTCTCAGTCTTCCCATTTCTCTAAAGAGTAAACATAATCAGAAAGAAAATCTTAATATAGGAAAACCTGATAATTTAAATAGCAACCCCCACCACTGACAGCTGCTTTGAATTACATGGCAATTTACTAATTTTGAAGTAGCCTATTATCTTAACCTCAGTTCATATCAGCTACACAGGTCTTCTCAGTTTTTAAACTAGAGTAATAGGTGGCAAACATCGAACACTACACTGATTTACGTGCTGATTTTTAAAAAAGTTGGGCACCGTTTGGGAAATAAGTGCTTCTTCTCTTTAATGCCATGGGAGGAAGGTAAAGTGTTCATTTGGTTTATGAAGCAGCAAATCTCTCTGGGACTCAAGGCATCGTGCTTTCCACTGTGACACTACAGTTAATTGTTAAATATTCCAGAAGACAGAAACAAGATTCAGATCTATCCCAACCTCCTTCTCCCAAACTGGAGAATACAGTCACAAGATAATTATGTTTTAATTACACTGAATTAATAGAAATATTGGGTCAGTAGAGAAGACAAATTTACTGAAGAATTTCACAGTCAGTTCTCCAATACCTGAAGAAAAAAGTATGGTAGTGTGGGGTTTTTTTCCTTTTCTTAGAGGACATATCACCAATATTCAAAGCATGTGGTTCCTCATTCCACTTGTTTTTCAAAGTTCCCACCTCTGACTTCATTTTTTTTTTAAATGCATTTTTTAGAAAATGTAGTCTCAAGGTAGCTGATATATCTTATAAACTGTTAAAGCACTGTAGTAATCCATGCTTTGAGAATATTGTTATTTGCTTGATCAAACTTGTTCTGGAAAGAAACAGGGTATAGCAGCAGCATCTTAGTTATTGTTATTACACATTGATTTAGTTTGCAATATTTATGAGTCCTGTTTTATGTATATACTTAAAAGAATTAAATATATTTTAAAGTACTAGAAAAAAAAGAGCTCTCTGACCTGATGGAAAAGTGGACTATGTGTTATAGGGATTCCTAAGCCACTGAAACACATCCCAAGGACCATATCATCAGGTGCGTCCATGCTGTAACACCGGCATTTACTAGCAAGTAGTTTCTGAACAGCTGTTCTGCTGAAAACCATCCTGAAAAAAGAAAATAAACAAAAGACAATAACGACTAGAGAAGCCAAATGACTGTAATTAATAAATATTACTAAACAAGGCAACACATAGCCCTCTGGTACAACTACTACTTAGGACATTTGGGTCTTTGAGCACCATTACAATTTAATTGGACTAGGAAACATCACTGTTTGTTGCAACTGCTTTGTGTTGTAATTCAAAACATTTGCATTCAAACCAGAGACTGATGTAGATCTCAGTAGGAGTTTAAATAAATTACCCTCCGCCGCCAGTGATATAACTATATCCTCCTGTTCCCAAGCCGTAACCATAACGCTCTCCAAGAAACACTGGTTCATTTGGGTCATAGCAGCTGAGCAATTTTCGGAGCCTGAAGATACTATAATATGAAAATCCATTAAAAAATATTAAATCATGAGGACATTCATTTTGAAACAGACATTGTTAGCCTAAATGGCATTCTAGTAAATAGCACAAAAATCACAGGAGAAATTCCAAAATTCTACAAAAAACAGAGATACAAACTTTTAAACAGAAATTTATGATGGGTTATCTACTATGAGATACGATCACTGAATTTGGTCAAATGATGAATCAATTAGCTTTAAAGTATTTTTCTAAAGAAGCAAGCAGTTTCTCATCAAAACTGGGTCTTATCTCAAAGAAAATATGAAATCATTATTTCCAGACAATGGCAAGATCTTTTCTCCCAAGGAATTGAAAAACAAAAAGGTAGACTTAGTTATATGAATACTGCTTTATCTACAGTTATAGCCTCTTCCAAATTCTTCTTCTTTCATATCACTTAATGTAAAGTATTATCTTGAACCACTTATGCTTATGTTCATGACCATGTGATCCTGACGGCTGATCATTCTGCCTTATTTTGCTTATACTGCAGTGTTAGCTTTCATGTCATGGGATCTAATTTTCCAACAAAGGCAAATCCCTGGATACCATTCTGGGTGTCTTTGACAACTGACCTTAGCTTACTGAACCTTTCTTCTGGCACATTTATGTGAGGAATACATCTTAGAACGTATATGAGCAAATGACTAAAACCAGTCAGCTCTGACATGCCTACACTGAAGAATCACAACGTGTGACAATTTGTAATCATATTCAGACTGTCTGATTACCTAACAACACTAATATGCATAGTTTTTATAAAGTTACAAGATTACATTGCTTTTAATATCAGTCAATGAATGCTGAAGGAAACTTGAAGGAATATAAATCTACATTAATAAAATAGCTGTATCTCTTAAAAACAGAAGAAGAGATGAATACAGCCAAAACTCCTATTGACATGAACAGCAGCAATTCCTGACATATTGCAATGTATACCTTATCAGTGTGTCATCATCCACTATGACTAACCAAGGAGTTCTGGGGGAGCTATGGTTCAAAAACCTTTCCAAAATGGCAAAAGTTTTCCCACAGTGACCTAAAGGAAGAGAAATAACAGGATATGTAAATTTTAAGAAAATGAAATCTTGTAATAAACAATTATTCATTAATTAAATATTTTACAGCACTATGCAAAACATTTTGGAAATTACTAGTAAAATATTTGATATGCAAGTTCCTTCATTGTGCTGAATAATATTTGTACAAATTGTTCCAACTTAATTATTGTTTTCCATGCAGGAACATACTTTTGAAGCATGCTGAAGTATGGACATTCTTTGAATTATGGAAATCTGAAAAACAAGCTATATTCCAGTTATCCTATTAAGCTGTTGGACAATACCTGGTAAACTGCTACTCTTAAATTTCCAAAACTGTAAAATGGGGAGACTATGACAGAAACATATTCTGCAAAATACACCAAGGTATCTTCATAGTATTTTGTGATGCATCAGGCAGATCCATTGCTTGCCTGTAAATATTTAAGTCTACATTAATCTGCCGTAGCCATAACCAGCCATTCAGGTCCTGATGACTTCCTTGGAGGAAGGTCTTAACATTTATCACAAGAGTGTAACAAAGTTGTGAGTAAAAACACCCTTTACTACAAGTTGAGAAGCGAAACATCCTTGTTCAGAATGAGCAGGACAAGAGAAACAGGAAGTTTCAGACTCTACTAAATCTTTTATAGATCTTGGAAAAATCTATTTGCAAACAGTCTTTATTTATTACACTTGATTGTCTAAAGCAATTAGTGCTATCATTATTACAATTACTAAACAAGAATTAAAAATAAGGATAGGATACTATATTTGGAGCTACTTCCAGTTAAAATATTTTTTGAGAAAATTCAGTAACACTCAGCTTAAGAAATGAAGGAAATCTTGGCTTTGCTGATTTTGTGAAACCATGAACTTAATGCAGACTGATATATAAACATTTAAAAAATACACTCCAAGATTTCTATACCATATTACAGAATCACAGACATTCCATGACAAAAGATGGACAAAAACAGTATTAGAGTAAACTCAGCACAATTTGTTTAGTTTAGAATGCCAGCAGCCTGGAAGTCCCAATGCTCCCCACAGCAATGCTCAAAGGCCAAACGTGGAAGGTCCCTTCCCCCTGGTGTGACTAGAACTACTGGGCACGGCTCCTACAGATCATCCACACACACCCACCAGGTCTGCTGCCTCTGGAAAACACTCACTAGTTGCACATGTCACACTACACTGTACCTGTGTACATGGAAATTCTCTCTGCCTCTAATAGACACTGTGGAGGCCAAAAAATAATAATAAAAAAAAGGACAGCTGGAAATAAGCCAGAGATCAGAACCACTGACCTAGTGGGACAGATACAGTTAATATGCCACAGCTTGGATACCTCTAATTCAGAAGGTGCGTAATAGCCTGTAGGAGGGAATATAAGCCTAAGAACAATAGATCAAATGAAAGAAAAAGCTCTAAAATTAATAAACTCATGGAAGCCATCATATCCATAGCCTCTTTTCTATTGAAATACAAAGTAAACTACTTCAAAACCACATTATTTGTCAAAAGAAGATCTTCTAATCTCAACATTTAGTTTTTGTGCTTAAATCAAGGCATACTAGGCACAAGCACATAATACTTGAACACCTTATGGCAAGTAGTTTATGCTCAGTAACCAGCTGGCACTGTCTTGAGGTCTTTTGACATAAATATATGACCTCTACTACCACTGACAAATCTTACTAAAGACTGTCAATAACTCAAGAGTTATTACTCTTACCCAGAGTAATAACACCAATTTTTGTCTCTTGAGTCTATCCATGCACCATGCTTTCATACTCACAGTATTTAGGTTTCTACTAAAAAATAACATTCTACCTATAGGGATGAATTGTACTCTCCATCCATTTCCTGTGTGGCAAAAGCACTCTTTTAGTTTAGGCTGCACAAATGTGCTGTAGTAATACAGAATTTCTAACATTATATACCATACATGAAGTACAGGTACCATGCATAGAATTTACCATCTTTAGACAATTATTTGCACAAAAGTGACGACAACAGTCAATAGCTCACCTCTGTCAGTATTAGGTATGCCTAAATCTACAGTAGGAATGGAGATGTCTGCATAATCACTGTAGTACTCAATAAGGGCAGCTTCTCTTTCCCAAGTCTGCTTTACAACTGGTACTGCAAAACAATTATTGACATTGAAACATAAGTAACGTGATTAAAATAAGTACTTAATCAAAATATTTATGCATCTTGTTAACTGACATATTCCTTTACATGGTAATGAAAAAGCTGTTTCAAATACAGCATCATGGTTCTAAATGTTCATTCACACCTACAATATTTGCAGAGAAACAATTTTACATTTTTATGAAAGCTAGTCAGGGCAGTTTTATTTTTACAGTAATAAATTTCCTTTTAAAATACAACTATAGTTTCATTTATATTACATTGAAACCTGTGACATTTACATTTATGCTAACCCAAGTATGGAATTCACTACTTTTATACTCGCTATGGTAGCCTTTATAGCACACATCGGCATCAACACTATCACAGATCAATCATTCTTCCAGTACTGAAACTGTTGCATTTTAAAAACTGTACAGCATGCAAAATATTCTGAATCAGAAACAGACCTAATTCACCCTTTGAAAAACTACACTTGTGTTATACGCATCTTATCTGACACCAACATCATGTTCAAAACCACCTGTCGCTGGAGACATGCTCACAGAAGGACATTTATTAGTATCATCGAACCAAATTTTATCCCACGGAGATTCTTTTCAAGGAGGACTGCTTAATGCTTCCCCACCAGAGAAGCATTGTCTTTTCTTATTAGTTTGCCATTTGACATAAACATTTTAAACTGATCATACAAAATTCTAATAATAATGCTACAAATATTTAAACTGCATCCAGAAGTGAATAAATCATGGGTAACACAAAAAAAGTCAAACACCTGCAGGGTGTTTGGAAGAGAATGAGATTAAAATAAATTATTTTTTCCATTTAAAAAATTAAATGGTCAGAACTTAGATGAAGAACTACTCTGAAACATTGTGCACTGTCCGCTTTATGTTGACACTACCCAGTAGGTCTCATCAGTTGTAGCCAGCTCTTTAAACGGAGGAAGTATTTACATGCCTTCCCACTGCTGCTATGTAACTCTGATGCTTGTGAACAACCCATTTTAGCCCCGTGCTGGAATCACACATCACCTAATTTGACGTTTGCTGCCTACCTACTTGCTCACTTTCCTCTACTCTGATCACACAGAGACTTGTAGGATTTAATATTCTTGGTTAACCAATAGTCAGTTCTAGAAGACAAAAATTAACTGAGGTGTGACTATTAGGATAGAGTAATAAGAACTCAATGTGCTAATGGAAAGGCTTTCGTATTTTGAAAAAATACTACTTCTGTAGCATTGTACAATGGACAAAACTGCTTTTAAAAGCTTTAGACACTTAAAACTGCTCTCAAATTTTTGCATTAAAAAATTCAAAGGCAATTATGTACAAAAATATGTTCGTGACAGTGGAGTATTGAAACACAAAGACAAGAATTTCACGCTACATTAACTCTACCTGCTATGTACTAAAAAGTCATATTACATCCTATAACAACTGCATAATCATGCATTAATTGACAGACAATGCATAGAATAGAATAAAAAAAAAAAGTAGGCAGGAAATTATTTTCTTGTTTTGTGGAAAGTTCTATTTTAAAAGTGTTTCTCGGAAAAACAAAACCAGAAAGATTTCAGAAAGGTTCCAATACAGAAATGTCACAGATACACAAAATGCTTCCAACCTTCACCTGGCAGAAGAGACGTGCTTGTAAAGACTGTTTCACCTTTCTCCAACCAAGGACCTCAACCTCAGTAGGATGCTTTAACATACAGAGCTATTTGCTATTATGGACTGAGCCTCTCAATTTCTTCAGTGAAGTCACCCTTTTTTGTATAAATGAAAAAAGTTCACTAAAGGAAGGATCCGAGTCTCACTTCAGTTAAGTGGTCTAACAAGGGGGCTACTAGCTAAAGTGTTTTTCTCTTTTCCTTGCTTGTTTTGATGGAAGTGTCACCATCCAGACTTATGTTTATTGTAAACTGAATCCCACAATACTTTGCAATTTCTAACAACCCGTATATTCCAAAGAAAGAACAACTATTTGAAATTTCTGACTAGCTATTGATGCAAATATTTATCACTATGCATTAATACTTGTGATCACAAAGAAATTTTAATACCGCACTACAGAGATACTTACAGAAGGTCAGCTCTAAGCCCTTTACATTTTTTTGTGCTATTTCTAGAACCTTGACACATGTTCGCAGTCTTGAAAGTTTTACATAAACACATAGAGCGTGTCTAAGAAGGAGAGTTGTACCTGAAGTAAATTCTGAAGTAAAATCTAGCTGCTTCTGCACATCCAATTCCAAGCCTTAATGTTGCACTAATGTAGTTTTTGGCATACAATAAAAAAATGACTTACCAGGTAAAAGGAGCTCTCTGAAGCTAGCATCCATTAATCTTTCAAAATCTTGAGTAAGATTCTCCTCTATTGCACAACACTGGAAGCTGTGAGGAAAGTTCAAGAATTTTCCTCAGTCTTCAAGAGATGTTTCTTGAAGGATGTTTACACTGTATTTTTTAAGCCTTATGTTCTTTTCCAACTTTCTAGGTTTTCATTTTGATGTAAGGAAATAAACATGGATCCAGAGAGGAGAACTCTTCAGTGAACTCCAGTTACAGGACAGTCAATTTTGTTTTGTCTAAAGCTACTTTAAAGATAGCCTAATAATTAGGTAGTTGAAATACTAGAAAAGTGCCTCCATCAAGTACAGTAACATTAAGAAAAAATTTCCATAAATCTTACTTTGAAGAAAAAATAAGTCTAAATCTAGAAGTGACAGAACTTACAGTTTTTAATGGATTAGCAAAGGGGGATTTAGGTAAGAAAAGAGCTTTTATCTTTATCCTGTCCTCTGACAACAGATGCAGCAAAACTCACAAAAAATTTAGTACTACTAGCCATTACTTCATTTTTTTTTCCAGTAATAAAACTTTAAATTAAGCTTATGAAGAAACTAAGCCTAATAGTGACAATATTATATACCTGGAGTATTCAAGGGCACACAAGTAAATTCCTGGAAATAAATCCATTCCTGAATTTCTTTATTAACAAGAAGTAAACTGTAAGGGGCTGGTAGATCATGTCAAGTAGGTAGTGTGTCTTTTGTTAAATCAGTGGATTTGGAATTTTTCCTTCCAAGTTTTGTAGACACTGGATCTACCTCAACTTAACTGAGCCTTACCATGTATTAGCTGAAGCTGAATGTCTCTCTGTACCTTTATTTTCTGTCCCTCTAAGAAGGAAGTTAATACTCACTGGCTATATTTTGTTGGGCTGAGCTAGTTTTTTTTGTCTGTTATTTTGCCATGGGTATCACAGTTGTATTTTCATGGTGACTATCATTACTTGCATAACACTACAACTGCCAGATGAAACATGCTATAGTGTTGCACACTTGGGAGACTCCTGATCTAGGCCATGGCTTGGACAAAGCACTACAGATAACCAGATTTCTACAAGAGACAAAACTTCCCATTCCAAGCATTATAAAGCAACTGTGCACATCCAATTGCATAGGGTGACAACAGACAGAAGCAATATGACAGCATAAGCTGCTCAGTATTTTACTGGAGGGGAGGGCAGGACAAAAGGAAGGAGGGAAGGGAAAAAGCTTTCAGCTTGTTCAAATTTCTGTATCAGCCACCGTACAGCTGCACAATTGCCTCGTACAGGGAACAGAACTCAACCAATTATCTGGGGGAAATACACTGAAAGATATTAATAGCTGCTATATTAATTAACATTGCAACAGCTCCAATTTTCAACAACACGCGCTAACTTTATGAATATTTTTAATTTAGATATTCATTTTCAAGATTTTTACCAACCAACTACTAATGATGAAACATCAAACGACCACAACTTTGTCTTAAACATTTCACAGCACTCCTGAAGAACTCTGAATAGAAAAAAAATTCTACCTAAAGAATAAGCTGTTTACAATTCTGAAGCCTTCATGTTTCCCAGTGGATTTTGCAAACATTTAGTCCCAAGAGCTACACAGACAGCATACATCAGCCTTGGTTTTTAAAAATTAATTTCATAAATCATGTTGCATAGAACTACTACCTTGACTAACCAACAACTTACTTCTGTCTCCATGAAATTTCCTACATGTTTTTACAGCAACAAAGACATCTTCCTTTTTCACTGGCTCCCCCTATATGAACAGAACAAAAAAGGATTTTGTAACATTTTATAGGATATGCATGTCCATGCATTTAATAAAATAGAAAACACCTTTTCATTGTATAGCATATCAAGTAGAAAACTGTACTAGTAATACAGTAGAAAGTACATTTTTGTCTCTCAAAAAAAAAAGGTCACTAGTGGTTTAAAATTATTGAAATAACATTGCTGAAATACTTTTCCCTTGATGTAGTATTCTAACATGAACTAAATCACATACCATTAGGAAAAGAGAAAGATTAGAACTTGTTGAGTTAAGAATGATCCATCTGAAAAAGACTACTTTCTTCATTTCTTTGAAATGAATCACTATGAGAACATGTTGAACTCTAAATAGAAAATACCTTTTCATTGTATAGCATATCAAGTAGAATACTGTACTAGTAATACAGTAAAAAGTACATTTTTGTCTCTCTCAAAAAAAAAAAGGCCACTAGTGATTTAAAATTCTTGAAATAACATTGCTGAAATACTTTTCCATTGATGATGTATTCTAACATGAACTAAATCACGTATCATTAGGAAAAGAGAAAGAGTATTAGAACTTTTTGAGCTAAGAATGATCCATCTGAAAAAGACTGTTTTCTTCATTTCTTTGGAATGAATCACTATGAGAACATGTTGAACTCTATTGTACATAGAAAAAATATCTTAAATACTACACACTAGAAATCCTTGAATTTTCTCAACTGTAATAAAATCATGTAATCTTTTTAAATTTTTTTCCCCTTTTTGGCATCTAGAATTTTGCTCTCCTGGAAGCATGGAATACTTTTTGGCCTCTAGTAACTGTCCAAGTTATAATATCCTAAATGTATTCTCCTAGAGGTGGAAGAGATGGGTTGTATTTTAATGCACCAAATGCTATATTACATTTTATCTTTAGTTTCAACAAGTTTTAGAGTCCCATCTGTGAAAAAAGATTATCTGTACTTCAGTATCTCATAGAAATAGAAGGAGAAATACTTTATAGATAATGGGCTGCTCAAACACTGTGGTAGAAAGACCCACTAAAGCATATGCAGTATTTATTTGCCAGGAAATATCCTATGTCACAAAGGCTGAAAGCATATCTGAAAACAGATAAATGCCAGAACAAACTTTTTTTTTTTTTAACTTCTTGAAAAATATTTTCTTAAGGTTTGAGACTTTTACAGTCAAATATTACGCATTTTAGTAAGAGTTTTACCTTTCCTAAATAGTATTTAAAATATGGTACTTACACAAAGTGGCAGAAAATTACTGAATGTTGTTGCACAATGATCAACCTTATATGAGCTCACATCATCTGTGCAGAATTCAGGCACTGGAGTAAGAGGTGGTCCCTCCCCTTTCTGCCAAATATACAGGGCAATCTATCAAAATAGAAAACATTTATATCAGTAATGAAACTGGATAAAACTTCTCAAGGCATACAAAGAAATCATATTAAAGGACAAACTGAACAGAAAAACTGAAAAATATGGGATGCTGTAGAGGATTTGTGCCTTAGTTTATTAACTAGCTGCATAACTTACTTCTTGTTCATGTTTCTACAGCCAAGATGTAATTTTTTTGCTGTATTTTTGCTATTTTTTGTTTCATATAATTACAATTAGTTTCATATATTTAAGCATGCCAAAAAATTAATTTTTAACTTTTGTAAGAAGTGGTAAAGTGAATATTTACACCTTCTTTTAAAGTAAACAAAAATCCTTATTGTGTTACTCTTTTTAAATTATTTTGATAATTTGGAATAGTGAGGCCTGTTTAATCCTATCTGGCAATTTTCAGCTTTTCAAAATGTGTCACCAGCTGTTCTCTGGTGACAATTTAAAAAGCTCAAAATCAGTCATGATACTCTGATGTAGCTGTCAAATACAATGAAGAATAACACAATAGATAAGCTATCCTATAGTAGACTGTTATCTATTTTAAATGCAACAATAAAAAAAAGCCAGCCAAAATTTACAGGGAAAAAGGAAGAAGCAAACCAGTGATGTCTAAAGAAGATTAAAAACCCAAAACCCTTTGTATTTACATCCAATTCAAGATACAAATAATAGTATGTCAATCTGTACTTTATGACACATCAAGAACACTTAGACTTGCCCAAAATTTCTACTGCAATACTTTTACACTGCTTATAACTTTGCCAGACCAAACATTCAGGCAGGAAATATCTACGTTGGGTGCCTACCTCAGACTAGTTAAAAGATAAAATTAATTTCATATAAAACTGTTCAGAAACTTGTAAGAGCAAAATTAAGTTCTCAAAAAGCTAAAAACCAGAAAATATTATCTCAGAATGTATGTGGATTCAGAGCTTCCATCTGCACTGCCATCCACTCCCAATTCTGAATGCTCAGTCTCTCTTGAGGATAGGCCAAAGATGTGAAAGCATCTTTGGACAAGAGGTGTTTTGAGCATATACTCAAGATGTAGGAGATCTGGGTTCCAGGTTTGCTTCTGCCTCAGTCAGAAGTTACAGCTTCTAGTTTTCAAAAGGGTTCCTGCACCAACAAACCATAGATATTCTGGGACAGAGACTCTCCATGCTACCTCATGAAACTGAGTTACTGCGCAAAAAGTAAGATTCACGGAACCAACAGTGTAGCAAAGGAGAGCCTGACTACTGCACAGGGGCAATGGGACTCCTCCAAGGGAGGAAAATCAGTCCTGAGTTCTAGATCCTGTTTCCCATGTTATTTACACATATTGCAATGACTCTTGCATGGAAAACAAGTTAAGTGCTTCACTAGAATATGGGACCAGACCCAGCAAACACCAAAGCCAATGAAAATTAGTCTCCTTTTCACTGTTTTATTTCTACTTAGGGACTGTTAGCTTTAAACTCCCCACTCTGGATCAGAATTCAGCTCTTCTTTTAGCAACTAATGTGATCATTAAGCTGTTATTAAGAGGGCAAAAATACTTCTTTCTCCCCAGTGTTCAGGGACAACTCAGCACAAACCAAGGCCATTAAGTATGGTCTGGACAAGCCCAAGTCACCAAACCAGTTACAGACATGTGAGTTACAGATAATTATTTTCCTGTCCTTCTCATTTAGGTTTCAATATCCCCAGAAAATCCCAACTATCTGCACACAGCCATTTCTAGAACTTAGAAGGAATAAAACAAAAAGGCCAGTTTGTTGCAGGCACTGTTAGGACTAGGGGCAGGCGTAAGAATACAAACATATTTCTGAAACTTAAGCTTTCAGATTTGAAAGATTTTTGATAGCAAACAGCTGGGGTACAATCACATTCCAGAACACAATTAACTGATGACGTTTTATCAAGTTGCTGATTGTAACTGGGTTGTCATAACTACACATGCACTCTTACACCACCTCAACTGCAAAGTAAAAACATTTAGTTTGATTGCACTGAAAAGAGTTTTAATTACTGTGTTTTTCCTTGGAATTAAGTGGATGCAGATGATTGGGAGCTGCGAGTACAAACATGGTTGCTACTATTGCTCATCTGATAGTGACTTGCTAAACCACTGTAACTCAGCTGCAGGTTCTTTCAATACAACAATGAGTTTTGTAGTCTGCAAGTCCTCTTAGCCTCACCATTATTAAGTGGTCTGTTTCTTTGCTGTTTTAGCAATGCTTCTGAAAACACAGATAATCTTAGCATTACAGACGAGTTGAAAAAAGCACTAAAGGGAAAGGCTACTCTATAGGGAAGAAAATACATAAGTATGAGTGGCAGTCAAGACAAATACTGTTGATAGCACTTGGAGTAGAGGAGGAGTATAGAAATGACATGTAACATCCATGCTCGAGGTAAGGAGCAGCCAATAAACACATATACACCTCCAAGGTTACCTTTTTGCCTTGTCATCATATTCACATTACGGGACCTAAGTGGTTCTTGACCCTGCCTTGTAGTTGGATGACTACATAATAGCAAGGGATGGGATTTCTGAAGAACTTCCAGGACATTTTAAGATTGTATTAGTTCAAAATTCAGGTATTCAGAATTAATGTCTATCACATGAACCAACAAAGAAGCAATGCTCCTGCAGCACAAAGACTATTTTACAATTGTAACTTAACATGAATTATTTATGAAAGTTCATAATGGACTAAGATTTCCTACTGAATAATGAAACCTTCAACAGAAAGCCTTAGAATGGTGTGAAGCTATCATATTTCAGAAGTGAGGTTAGAGTGCCATTTTGGGTTATAGAAAAGGATGACAGACTGTTCCTGAAACAACAGAAATTAATTTACAATAAAAAGACAAAAAATAGTCTTAGTCTTAGTTCAAACTTAATGTTAGATATACAAAAAAAATCCATTATTCATTTCCAGTTTTGAATTAGTATAAAGGAATATGCCATATATTATGCAGTTACAAAATGTCTAAAAAACAATCTACAAATGAGCAGCAGCATGATAAAAACCATCAGCCATATTTGCAAAATAAGCTTTCCAAATGGAAAGTGATAGAAACGTTACAGATATAAGAAACAGGGACTTGGAAAGTAGTAGGGTGGAAAAAAACCCAAAACAAACCTGATCCAGAGAACAGTAAAATACCAAGGACTAGAGGCACATGTTATTAGGACTCTGTCAAACTACAACATTTCTTGAAACACTTATCATCCTTCATAAATTTAAACATTACACACAATCATTAAAGATCACAGATTATATCCTTTGATTTGTTGTCAATCTTAAATCACAGGAGGAGGACGTAGAGATAAAAATGATTTAAGAAGAAGATGGTAATTTATGAAATAAATGAGGGGGAATGGAACTGTCTCCAGGGAAACATGAGGCTGTGCAGAAAGAATAACTACAGGGCTGAAGTAGGTTATCTGTGGCAATAAATCTGAAGTGAAACATATGCAAAGAACTGCTAACAGCGTAAGAAGTGGATAGAAGTAATTTTGCCAGTCGAATGATCAATTGTTTTTCATTAAGCAATCTGTGGCACATAAAAAAAAGTCTGCTAATGAATTTCTTTTAATGACACTATGTTTAGAGGCTTTGTAAGTGCTGAGGTAGACTGAAATGTTAGGAATATAAAAATGACTTTGAGACAACTTTCAGAAAGAAGATTAGCAGTGTGAAGCCCAAGGTCTTGCATTTAGAAAAATTAACAAGAGGAAAGAAACAGCTTGTTGGCTTGTTTCATGTAGCAAAATGAAAGCTGAGAGAGGTTCAATCGCTTTTGAGAATTATATCAGTCAAGGAGGGGAAACTATATGAAAGAGGAGTATTGGCACAAAACCAAATTAATTTAAATATGCTACCAACTTATACTCTATAAATACATTGTAGATTTATGTTGGAAATGAGGAGGTTTATAACCATTATAGAATAAAGATATGGAACAGCAGCCACAGTTTTAAGTAATGTGGGTTTTTTTCCTGGGCTGGAACCACAATTTATAGCTGACTTTCAGGAGAGTTTTAAAAAATAAAAGTGAGTTCAAGATAACTCAATTTCAGGTTAAAATCAGCAAGCTTATTCCAGATTCATCCTCCCCTTTCATCCTGTTTCAGGAGCTCACTTTGGTGACAGATGCACAAACATTTTGAAGGCAGAAAAAAAATAAAAAAGCTTCAGAAAAGGTATCACTGATCATCTTTCAGATAACCCCACTCCTTTCTTCTCATGTTCCTTTCAGTCAACTCACCTATCCTCTGAAAGCCTTAGTAGCTACCTTTTAAAACTGCTGCAAACCACAGGGGCGGGGTGGGAGGGAAGGAAAGCCAGACAGACATCCATGCTTTCATGCTGCAAGTTGCAGAGTTGACTGATCACACAACAGTTAGGTTTTCCAAACAATTTAATCCAAACTCCATCATATTTAGCTCTTAGAGTCTGATTTAGAATGTGATCAAGTATGGCTTATATCTGAGATACTAATCATGTCAGCTTACACTTCATGAATTGGAAGTCTCTTTCCTTCTTTATAGAGCAAGCCTTAGAAGATACCTCACTGTCACGCGTGTATTCATAAACGAACACAATTTTATTCATGAATTCTTCTATGCCTAAAATATAGTTTTATAGTATTATAATATTCCAAAGGAAGGGAAAGAAATTAAACATGCCATTGCATTCAATCTCTTGAGCAACCTCTAAGAAAATCAGTTATTTCCATTATCATTTATCACCATTCAAATTTATAGATAAGACATTTTTTTCTTTCATCACATCACTGCTTACCTCATGCTTTAAATCTATTGTAAAGTCGGACTTGAGTGGTTCACTTTTCAACTTCTTTGCAAGCCTATACAATTAAAGATGAAGAAATTTACTCAAAAAACATATTAAAGAAAATAAAATCAATCACTAGTGTATGCAGCAAAGTTTGGACGGCATTATTGACCATCTTAAAGGGGGGGGGAATCACACTTCCGTATTTATTGCCCCAAGAAGCAACTTATACTTGTTTTTCATATTTTTATTATCTGAGTACAGTGTGATGATGCTAATATTAGTTTTCAGCACAGACATTTTGATACATTCTTGCTGCGCAAGAAGAAAGTTTTCATCTGGAGTAGATAGAGAGTCTGGCATAACATTCTCAACAGATTTAAAAGCAGCAGTGTGTTTGAAGCCCAATATTGATCAGCACCTCAAACTTCAGACAATATTCTCTTTTTCTGTATTCCAAAGCACAGTATTTAGGCACCTTCACCTTATGAACATCAATATTTGCTACAGCAAGATGCATTCAACTTCTGAAATCTAAGAACTTCTCAGATCTCATTTAAAAACTACACATCTAATCTGAAATAAACATCTAGGTTGTCTCTGTAGCATGACAGAAACACTTCTAGAGGACAATGCAGTCACTCTAAGATACAGGAATAGAACTGCTGTCTGGGAGAGAATGTATTTTTAAAATTACAAAAGATGGTATTAAACTAGTTAAAAAAGTAGTACTAGGCAACTCTTAACTAGCTGATATGACGTTAACTTTTAGATCGGCAGACTGAAGCAAAACAAATCATCACCCACAGAGCAATGATAAGAGAAATCTATTTCTGTACCCTTGTCTACTAATTAATTCTTAAGTGTTTATATAATAATTATGCTTGGAATGTAGAGAATAAGGAAGCAACTGAATTTTATCCAAGGCATATCTTCTGAGTAAGTTTAAAGTGTGAGCACAAGTCTATGCAGGCATACCCAGAGCTAGCTGTACATCACTGTGCCTGGTTGAATGTCTTGCTACACTTTAGATCCTCAAACTAAAGTAGACTTACATGTATTGGCACAGACACCGGCAATACAGGTGGCAGCAGCAAAAGTTCAGACTCTGAATTCAAATTCATGAGAGGGCAGCCTGCACTGGATGAGTACATCCCAAGCTGTCTGTCATAGCTAAACTGCAATCAGCAGCTTTAATTCAAAGACAGCTTAACATTAAAATTTTGATTTTGCATATCTACATGACCTGCGGTAAGACCTTCAACTGCACTGCAGGCACACCTTCAACTTTTATAGAAAATATTAATCCATACAAAATCATAACTCATTAATATAATACTGATCAGCATCTAGAAAAAAATACATGAATTCAACACTCTTAATTACTATCAATAAACAATTAAGAAGTGATTAAAAATTCAATTCTTACTTGTTAACAAGTGGAATGCTAAGTGCCCAACCAGCAGCAAAATCTGGAAATTTAAAGACTGTAGGATTTTCAGCAAAGGCATAATGGTGAATTATGGTAGATTCTTCATCATATAATGCTTTACCTAAAAACCACTCCTGTAAAGGAATATAGGAAACAATTTTGTTCATCTACAGCATCCCTTTAGTGAAGATGACGACTGCATTCATGCTGAATAAAGCAAACCTGAAAACAAAAACAAGGGAAGCGTATTGTTGACAGTAATCCAGACAAAAAATGCATGTGGTAAGAAATAAAACTAAAAGCAGTTCTCTTGAGTTCAGGTGCACACTGTATTTTCAAACTCCAGCATATGCTCTGGATTTCACCTGTTCAAAAGAGCATGGAATCCCAGAAGGGTTGAGGTTGGAAGGGGCCTCTTGAGATTCTCTAGTCCAACCCCCCTTCTCAAGCAGGGTCAGACAGAGTAGGTTGCCCTGGACTCTGTCCAGTCATGTTCTGAATACACTCCACAATCTCTCTGAGCAACCTGTTCCAGTGTTTGACTGCCCCAACTGACTATTGATTAGACAGGACACTAAAAAGCACTGCATTCAGGAACTTTATATATATATATATATATATACACACACACACACACACACACACACATTTTGAATTTCCATCTGTCTAGTCTCTTTTACACTAGGGAACTTAAAAAGCAAATACATGTTGAATACCTTGATCTTCAAAACAGTTAAAGGAAGAAGGTCTCAAGTATGTATTTGTAAAGTAAAAAATAAAGCAGTAGTAGTATTATGAGTTTTTAATAACAGTGTTTAAGAATTTACTACTGACTCTGCTGCATCTGAAAATATTTAAGTGACCTAAATTTCACTTATTTAACATTACTGACAGTTGTCTTAATCTTTCTGTTTAGGATAGAGTATAACATATATATAACTTATAAAATAAGTTATACTCCCAAATTTTTGCAGAATAAGGACTGTAATGAAGGGGAAAAAAAATGTTTATGTGTGTGTATATATACATATATATAAAATGTAAAAAACCAAAAAATATAAATTGCTTTTCATGCCTATGAAGACTAACAATGAATTAGTATTCTGAATCACCTTAATGGTTATAGTAAATATTTAATGTGTGGACTTCTTTGCATTATGACAGTAAGTCAGGCTTTTCTTTTTCCTGAAAATTTACAAGTTCATCACTAAAAATAGATTCAAAGTTAGGGTGACTAGTTTTTCCCAAAAGATTCTCTTTTTTCCATCCTCCCTGCCATATTTGATTTTTAGTGACTTCTTCAGGTAACACAAACGCTGAAAACTTGTTTGCTCCCATAATCTCTATGTGCCTCCTGAGGCTGACAGGTAGCTGTGCAGAAATCTGTTGAGGAAACAGCCAAAGTTAAATTGACACTGTCCAATATATGGAGAAGGTAAGGGTGGAGATTTTTTCTCCATCTTTTTCTTTAATCAGCTTCACAGGAGTTGCTACCTGCTACCTACTTACTCAGCCTTTGATTTATATCTTCAATCACAACAGACCTTGTTTTCTCCTTCCTTTACTGGAAGGATTCAATATTGTTCACTGAAAGGCTTAAAAATCAAGCAAAATATTGGAAGGTAAAAAAAAAAATGGGCAAACATACTAATTTTTATACACAAAGATGATTGCCTTGAAATAATAAAAATAATTCTTTAGAAGCATTTGTGCACACCATTTTTGGACTATTTCAGGGCCTTCAAGGCTTCAAAATGTTCACAACACAACCACACTAATCTGTTTCAGAAATAGTTAATAAATAGTAACATTTTAATATGACAGTAACATCTGCTGACAATTTTTTTCTGGACCTCCACTTCTGTTATGCTACAGAGTGAATCAAAATTTTTACTTAGTCTCATTTTGCATGCTAATTTTTACTCCAAAATAATCTATGGATTAAAAAAAACAATCTTACTTTCCTTGCTCTATAAAACATAGAAAATTAAACCCACACATACACCCTTCCTCAGGCTTTCACACAATATTATTTCCAGCAATATTAAGTCACAAATCACAGTGAAGGCATGAGTTGAGCCAATAATCTTCAAGCCTATTTGGTCCTAACATTGTTTATTTACTACACTGTCACGTAGGACAAATCAGTCTGTGCAGGCTGGCTTTACAAGATTAAATTAGTTATATGTGAAGGAACTTATAAAGTAACTTAAGGAATGATGGTAGTAATCAAATTGCATAAAGGAAAAAATCTGGATTTAAAAAAAAAAGAATGTGATTTATTGCATTATGGATAACTATAATGCACAGGATCAGTTAATATATTGTGCTTAAAAAATGGCAAAAACAACCTACCTTTAGTAAGAGCACTCCAAAGTCTTTAGAACACTTTAAACTAATAGCTGAAGGAATCTGACACAACAAAACTCAATACCAGACCTTAAGGATGGCAAGGGTGACTTTACCTAACTTTCTAATCAAGTTGATTCCACCCACTCACTCTTGTATCCACGTACTCACAAATACCAAAACAAGTGCACCCAATTCTTCTGTCCAAGAATCGTCTGACACAGAGGACAGGAGAATTCAGCTGTCACATCCTCACTATGTCTTACTACAACATCTTATGAGTTCTTATGATTCTCAAGGACAAACTGTTCTTTAGACAGATCTTTTATGCCCTTTAGGTATCAACAGCTATTAAGTCATTGCTGCCCATCAGTCTGGTTTACTCATTCTGGGTATCTTTGGGGCTGTGGTCTGTCAGCCTGTTTGGATGACAGGATAAGGAGTGGCACATACACTTTGGTTTAATCTTGCTGCCGTCATCCACTATGAAAGCACAAGTTGAATCAATCTGCTGTTGAAACACAGAATCACAGAGGGGATGAGGTTGGAAGGGACCTCTGGGGATCATCTGGTCTAACTTCTGCCCCTACACTTGCTGCACAGGGTCACCTATACAGCAAGTTGCCCTGGACCATATCCAGACAGCCTGTGATTTATCTCCAAGGACGGAGACTCCACAAACTCTTTGGGCAATCTGTGCCAGTACTCGGTCACCCTCACAGTAAAAAAGGGTCTCCTGATGATCAGACATAATTCACCAAGTGCTTGCTTTGAGGTCTTTACGTAAATCAGATATTCCTCACTGTTTTTTAGTTTTACTTCAGTCAATAAGGTCCTTGGTTATCAATGCAGGTCATTCTCTTAACATTCCTCCACAGTTTCCTATGATGCTTTCACACATCTGTTTTCACAATAGATTCCTAACAGTCTCAATAGTTCTGTTACTAATCTCTACATACCCAGACTGAAAAGCTGCAAATTCATCAACTATTCATATGCCCATTGTAGATCTTTTATTGTGATTAATGTATACCAGCTTTTTGTTATGCAGACTGCTGACATTTTAAAATGAATAGTAAATGAGCTCATTCTGGTCTAACTCATGTTAAATTTTATGACTGATGGATGACTACTGTATATAAGGAATCAGTTAGGGACTGTGACACTAAGATGATGATTATTATGTACAAAAGCAAAACATTTTATTTTCCTTTTAATATAGGTTGGAACATAATTTTTTATTGTAATATAATTTTCATGTAACACAAACTGGCATAAGGGTAGCATCTAGAACAAAAATTTTTATGTTTCTATTCCAAGAACATCAATTAGGAGCAGGCGTTTCTGAAACAGAAATAAATAGATATTTCAAAGGTGTGAATATATTCAGTCAGTTATTTTGAAGACAGAGTGTTTAAAAATGTAAGATCTCAATTATTATTATTACCATTTTCAAAAATAATTGTGAGAAAATACGACAAGGCCATGTGCCTGCAAAAGAAGTAAATATGCTAAAGTGAGACCTGAAGCAGAAGTCAGTACTCAGTCAAGATAACAATAAAGGGGCAAAACATATTTTGCACAGGAGATTTTGGCTTCTTGTATTCCAGTCAAAGGACAGACAACAAGCTGAATTTTTTTCTGAACACTGAGAATTCTAAGCATTAAGAACTCTCATGTCAGTGTCATTGCCAAATTTACTTTGTTCCTTGCTGACTGCAGGGTTTTTTTGTTGTTGTTCTGCGAGTCTTTTGGAATTGTTTCTCTTCTAGCAAGTAAAGAAAACTGTCTTTTCATCAAGACAGTTCAGAAACAGAATGCAAATAAAATATTCTAGTATATTATATCAGAGACAGTTAGTCAAACTAACATCAGTAATTCTGTCTGATGATAATCAGAACTGATGACAGAGAGGAAAATGGGGAGGGGGGACCACACAGCAGACTATACTCATCTTTTTACTGAACATCTTTTTACGCTACATCATGTTCAGGCTATCCACAGAAGGAATCTTCTCTGCTCAATTTTAACAGTTTTTCAACAGCTAGACAGGCACTCCTATTGCTTCATGTTAAACACCTTGCTCACTCTCAGCCTCAGCAACAGAAATCTATCCCTGTGTTTCAAGCTGTTTGGATACACCTTTTCCAATGTTTGGAGCTCTGAGGCATTCAGGCAGTGTTATAAAATTAAACTCTGGACCACAGAAACTGTTCCGTAACTAGGAATTCTAAGACTCTCCATTTATGATTTTGTACTTAAAATGATTCCACATTTCACCTAAAAACCCATTTAAGCACACTGAAAAGAAAGTTAAATATCTAAATTTTTATTTCACCTTAGATTCGTCAAATCTTCCAAGCGTTTCTAGCAGCTTTACAACTTGTATTCTTGTGTCTTCTTCACAGAAGAAAATCCACGAGGAGTTCTTACCATAGGTAACAGAGAAGCTAACAAAATAAATTAACATTTTACTGATAAACTGGCTTATGAACAGATTGATAGAGTCAACCCATGTTCCCCAAAAATAAGTATTTTCATAGAATCATAGAATCATAGAATGGTTGGGGTTGGAAGGGACCTTAAAGATCATCTAGTTCCAACCCCCCTGCCATGAACAGGGACACCTTACACTAGACCAGGTTACTCAAAGCCTCATCCACCCTGGTCTTAAACACTTCCAGGGAGGGGGCATCTACAACCTCTTTGGGCAACCTGTTCCAGTGTCTCACCACCCTCACACTAAAGAACTTCTTCCTAATATCTAATCTAAACCTACCCTCTTTCAGTTTAAAGCCATTCCCCCTAGTTCTGTCATTAACTGCCCTAACGAAAAGTTCTTCCCCGGCTTTCTTATAGGCCCCCTTCAGGTACTGGAAGGCCGCTATAAGATCTCCCCTAAGCCTTCTCTTTTCCAGGCTGAACAGCCCCAGCTCTTTTTTTTTGCAATCAATTATTCATTTACACAGAAACAGAAACTTTTACTTAGAATTACATACCAAAGGATTACATAAAGGGTTAGAGAAAGATACTGCCTCTGCTGCTATCAATTAATATAGCACCAGTTATTCCAGAAAGAAGGGAATAGAGACACATAAATAACGTCCACTCAAAAATGTATAGGTACTACAGGTCTAGTAGCCACCTACAACTTCTGAATTCATAATTCAGAAGTTTATAGATAACAGTTTAAGTTACCTTCCCCTCTGCACCTTAACTTTCTTCCAAGGAGCCCCACAATCATGAGAATGCCTAATGACACCTTCTCACAACTGTCTGACACTGATCATTCCCAATCTAAAAACTTCATTAGCTTTTACAGTACAGCGAAACAACAGAGATTGAAGGGACTCCCCTACCTTCCTCAGACCTAACACTAATCTCAATGCAGGATTCCTGACTCCTTCAGAAAATTCTTATTCCTTATTTCTCTACTCATCCCAGCTTAATTCTTCCACTACTTAACAAAACAAAGCCTTACTAATTCATGACATCCTAACGGAGAAAAACCCCAGTCTTGTTTGGTTTCCTTTGCACAGCTTTTACATTGATTTAATTAAAAAAATCATCTGAGGAGAGGAGTAAGAAAATTAGCACCTATAAACATCACAGATTTCTTCCTCTACAGCACTGTCTACTGACAAAATCAGCAACCAGATGGTTGCCAGGTGTTAAAATAATTCAGTCCTTTTTCATCTGGGACAAGTCATTGTGCTAGTTTTGGCTGGGATAATTTTCTTTACAGTAGCTAATGTGGGACTACGTTTTGGATTTGTGCTGAAAACAATGCTGATACCACAGGGAAGTTGTAGTTCTTACTGAGCAGTGCTTACACAGAGCCAAGGCCTTTTCTGCTTCTCACACCACCCCACCAGTGAGTGGGCTGGGGCTGCACAAGGAGTTGGGAGGGGACAGAGCTGGGACAGCTGACCCCAACTGACCAAAGGGATATTCCAGACCTTATGATGTCATGTTCAGCAATAAAAACTGGGGAAAGAAGAAGGAAGGGGGGACATTTGGAGTGGTGGTGTTTGTCTTCCCAAGTAACCGTTACACGTGATGGAGCCCGGCTTTCCTGGAGATGGCTGAACACCTGCCTGCCCATGGGAAGTAGTGATTTAATTCCTTGTTTTGCTTTGCTTGTGCAGATGGCTTTTGCTTTACCTATTAAACTGTCTTTATCTCAACCCACAAGTCTTCTCACTTTTACCTTTCTGATTCTCTGTGTGGGGCTTAGTTGCTGGCTGGGGTTAAACCACAACAGTTGTCTTCCTATAAAGCCACCTTTCCTGTGTGTCTTGTAACGGTATTTGATTATTCACTGCTCTCTGCTCACAACACTTAATCTGCTAAACTACAATAGCCAGAACAACTCACAATCCATTCATCTTTTTTAGTTCGTAAGAGCATACACTTGTTGCCTACTCAACAATAAAATCTGGGCAACTCTTTGCCATTCAGGCAAGCAAACAAGATACAATCAGCTGGGAAAGACACTTCCTAGATGTGCCTTCTAAAACTCGCCAACCAGGTACAGAAAGGGTAACAGATACCTTCATGTTTTTAATATGTACAGTATTCAATGCCTTGTGCAGCCTGAATGCTTTTCTCTCATGCTTTAGTGCTCAGCTAGAACTTGAGGAGAGAAATATCTGGATTTACATGAAAGCAGGTGGGTAAAAGGCAAGCAGAAAACACTAGAATGACCCTCACGAAAAGAATTACTGCATCTTGTGAATACATCACATACAAGTTCACAAAAGGAACAAGCAGTTAATCTAGCTATTGATGGATAAACAGAATGATTTTCAAGGGTAAGTATTTAAGGCCTGCAGAGTCTTATGTAGACCTCAGAGTACGCAGATTTGGAGTTCCGATTTCAAGGAGCCATTAGAGATACTCAGTAAGATCCAGTTTTGGGGTAATAATTTTAAAAAGGGATTTCTTTTTTGCTTAATGAATGTCCCTCCTCAGCCTTCCTGTAGCCCCTCATAGGAGAGGTGCTCCAGCCCTTATATCATCATTGTGGCCCCTCTGGACTCGTTCTAACAGGTCCAGGTCTTTCTTATGTTGGGGGCTCCAGAACAGGACGCAAATTCTCTATTTAAGATTCCTCTTTTGATTTCTGAAGAATTGTCTTCTGCTTTATCACACAAATGAGCATTTGCATTTTTGCTTCTGAGTTTTGCTCAGAGCTCTTCTTGTAAGAGCTCTGTCTGTAAAACCTGTCACTGAGACACAAATAATTCAGACAAGGAACCACCAGGCCCTTGAAACAGGAACTAAGAAGCACTTTTCTCATGTTTCTACACACACAGAAAGCAATGGACAGCAGAAAGAAAAGCATCCTGTCCTCCAACCACTGTGATGCAAAAACCTCAATCCAGAATAAAAACAGCCTTCCGAGTAATTCTAATAAATAATATTAACTAAATTAAACCTCAAGAGGCTGCAGAACCTCTGGTATAATTTCAAACCCAAGTTTTAGGCAAAGGATAGCCTCCAGCACCATGGAAGACTTTCCAAAACAGAAATCATTGCTTCCTGAGAGTTTGCAAAACACTACCATGTAAATGCAGCATGTCTTCCTTGGAGCCCTCTGCATAAGCTAAGAAGAAAAGATATTTGAGATTGCCTGTCTCCTCTGACTATCCTAAGATGGCCATATAAGCTTCTAAAGAGATGTCAAAACCTAAATCTTCTCACTATAGAGACATACCACCTCTTAGAAACACTGTAAGCAACAAAAGATAGAAAATCTGAACATGTCTTATTATCTATTAAAAAAAAAAATATTTATCCACTTCATTCAGCCAAATAATCTGAAAGGTCAAAAGTTCTGAAATACCTCACACCTTACACTGTGATAAGTGGGGACCAATAGGAAAATACACACTTAAAAATGGTATTTCTTTTGACTAGTTTACTGCCCTAATAATTTTAAAACCCACAATGATTTAAAGAAGGTAGTTGTTTAGTTACATTACATAATCATTCTTTTATCTTCTAGAATAGCTTTCTTTGATTTAATGAAATTTAACAGGAAATTCCTTTGGAAAACAAAAAAAGTAGAGTAAGAAAGTGAAAAGATAGGGTTGCAACTCTCATTCAAAAACTTCGCTTCTGAAAAAAGAGGTCTGACTAATTAATATTTACATTCTTGGTTACAAAAAATTGTGAAAATAACTGGCATTCATTACACTTACTCTCTCATTAATGGCAATATTGTCCATGCACCTTCATGTCCATCCATCTGATGAATAAGCAGAACCGTAGGTAACTCCTTTAAAAAAATAAAAATACTCTCATTAAACTTGAATTATATGTACTTTTTTTCCTAAACACCAAATAATCTTAAAAAAATTACTCCAGAATGACTACTTAGTCCTTCATGGTTTTTTTACTGGCAAGTAGCCCTACAGAATGCATCACTTAGGACAGTACGAAACAAGGTGACCTGCAATTCAAGGAAAGTGCTTCTTCCAACTCATTACTTCTTAATTCTCTATTAGACATAAAGCTAATACACTTCAAGTTAAATGTTTTGTATAGGCCCCATGTAATCAGTTAAGCAATATACTATACTGATTTCTTTACTATATCATTGAATCCCATACTGTGAAGAAAGACTTATAAATAATGTAGGGTGTTCTGCAAAGGCTTCCATTGGACAATCATGTTACACAGATCTCATGTGGGAGTTCTAACGCTTTACTTTGCTGAGTTCAGCTTTGACCTTGTCACACTTACATCACAACAAAAACCCATGGGTTTACACAAAAAACAAAATGAGAAGTTAGCATTTTTTGTTACTGAAAAATCAAAGAAGCTTCCTACAAAGCAAAATCTTTCTATAAAATTTCTTTTCTCTTTTATTACTTTAAAGATCTTTGGTGTGGCAGACCAAGATGTTTAGCAGAGAAGCTATCATTCTGGGGAAGTTCCCAAGAAAACATCCTTTAAACATGGTCCTCTGATAAACCAAATGGCATAATTTCTTCACTAGTTCATACACGTTAAAAGTGGGAGAGATAAATATATATCCCAGAATATATAGGCAGTATCTTACTCTGTTGATTAACTACTTACTCATTTCAAGCACAATTCTCTATTGCAACATTATTAGGGTCACAAGTTCACTAACATCTAAAACTTTTGGGTTAGATAACTGTACTAGTATTGAAGCAAAAATCTTCCTGCCAGAAAAACCTAACCTCCAAAAAAGTTCATCTAAACTTCCTCACCACATAAGGGCATCCCATTACAACAATTAACCTAATAAAGCACTGGTGGTGTTAATGCACTTTAACATAAATGACCTGCTACCAGCAGGCAAATGATCCCACCTTTCCATTAAACAGACTGTCAGGTTATGTTACTAAAGGCTCATCTCCACAAACACAAAGAAGCACAGAGGAACAGTAACAGGGTAGGAACCCCAATAATGTAACTGGAGAAAACTGAGCACCCTGAGCCAGCTCCCACTGGGTTTAGAGGAAGGAGGTTTGCTCTTTGCCAAAGAGCAAGTTTGCTAGGAATTGCCACTGTCAAATGCTACACTGTACACTACATCATCTCCAAATTCCATCAGTTCTCTAACACAGTGAAAACTACAGTATGCATTTCAAATACTTTCAAGTATTCAAATATTTTTTACATTTTAAAGACAAATATCGACATTTATCAAAGCATCAAGTCCGAGAATCCAGGGCAAAACATTATTTCAATATATCCTTTCAAATAAAGCCCACAAATGATTTGAAGTACTATTTTAAAATACAGCTGTAACAAAAGTACTTTGCTTCTGTTTAACAAGACAGTTATCCAGGAGCTTCTCCAAGATGGTCATGACCTTTTTAAACTTTTGCTCTACTTCTCCCTTTAAGCTGTTTTAAAAAACCCAGACTGCTAACAAAGCATAATATCCAACAAATAGTCATTCTGTAGTTTTTCGCTCCTCAGGAAGCCTAAAATAATAACCCACTATTTTCCAATAGAGAGAATCTCTACTTCTGTTCTCTCAGATGCCTGGTTATAATTTCAAAAAATAATCTAGTTTTCTTTATATATTATGTGCAGTTTCACAGGGTTCAGGGAAAGGCCATAGCAGTACCCTGCTTTCATAAATCAAGAGCAAGACACTGTGTGTAAGTCTGTCGTCAAACGATCTTACATTAAAGAAAAGATGGAAGCATTTACCCAGTCACATGGAGGTAACAACTGTAACTTAAGAAAGTGATTTGAAGTGTTCCTGACTATAACATAAGAGGCAAAAAAAGAGAAGAGTTTTAATGAAGAGGCAGTAATTTTATTCCTTTTTCCTACTATGCATTACATTGAAATCCTCAGAACAGAACTTAGCTGCCAGTAAAATACAGTTGAATGCATAACCAAAGCACTGACTCCTGAGTGGCTGCATGCTGGATCAAAAATCTCATTGCCTGGGAAAATAGCTTCAATAAGTATTTGTATCTGAAGGGACAGATTTTTAGTTAGTTAGCTTATTAGATAACAATTGATATTACAGCTATTTCATCATAAAAAAGAAAGCTTTCTGCTACAATTTATTTCTCTCTCAAAACTTTTAATTATCACTGATGTAATTTTTTCCTGTGGGGAAAGATGCTGGTAGCCACTGATTTTTTTATTTTACTGGATTGTTCTTCAACAGTAGGGGAGTAAATTTCAGTATGCATATTACAATGCTGCCAACTGCTAACATGCTGCCTAGAGTTCCCACAATTAGAAAAATCAGTAAAAGCTCCAGTAAGGTTTTTGTTATCCAGAAATAATTCACTGAAATAATTAACTTGTGGTCAGTAGTAACCAGTGTTAATTTGGTATGCAGCATGCCAACGTGACACCACAAGATTTTCCTCAACTACTGGTACAAACAATTGTCCTGTAGCAAACTGAAAAAACAGTCATACCAAGAATTTATAGTTGTGCCTATGCTTCCCCTGGTCAGAAGCAGAAAATGTGTCGACATCAAAATAACTGCCTCCAATCTTGTAGATGAAAACCTGAATAGATCATAATTCAGATTACCAGGAGACGAGAAGACTCAAGAAACTCCTGGGTTGGTTTTTTTTCCCCCAAATATGCATCCATCAGCAAATGAATTATGCCCCCTCCTTTCCCAATCTAATCTAGGCTGGGCTACCTATTTCAAACATGAAAATGACATCTGGAGTCTTCAATTAGTGCTTGCGATAGAGTTGTCAACTTCTGACTTTTCAAACTCAACAATATAAAAAACTAATTAATTTCATTATTGTAACTACTGAGATGTGACCAACACTGACAGGCATTGATCCTTTTCAAAATTATTATCATAAATCTTAATATCTAGAAAAAACCCCATAGTTAATAAATAAAGTGCAAGCTTAATCACAAGATTGAGACCTAGACCAAAAAGCAGCTCCCACTGCTTCCTAACACTGTCTCATATATTCATAGAATCATAGAATGTTGTGAGTTGGAAGGGACCCACAAGGATCATCGAGTCCAACTCCTGTCCCTGCACAGGACAGTCGCAGGATTCATACCACGTGTCTGAGGGTGTTGTTCAAATGCTTCTTGAATATTGTCAGGCTTGGTGCCATGACCACCTCCCTGTTCCAGGGAGCCTGTTCCAGTGCTCCACCATCCTCTGGGTGAAGAACCTTTTCCTATTGTGCAAACCTATTCAGTCTAGGTTAGTCCATTTTTGTGCATTTTTTTCCTACTCATCACACCGTCTTGCATCACAGAGTGCACAAACTGTATTCCTTTGGGATTAAACTAAACCAGAGATGTGTTGCAACTACTAATGGACCTCTAGTTCACAGAAGCAACTCAGACTAGTCCAAAACCCCTTTGAAATGTCATGTAACACCAGTGCTAGCTCCTCAGCAACAACTGCATTGCTCTACGTATTTGCTCCTCTTGCATTAAACTACTTGCTGATGTAGAAATAGTCCAAATATTAGTCCAGATGTGCCACGCGAGTATGGCACATCTGCTGTACTTTCAGTTAACTGGGATTTAATGAAATAATAATAAAATCATTACATGGATTCTCGGTCTAATATATAGTTTAAGCAGCAGTCTGAATTTTGAAAGCAGACAAGTATTTGAACTTGCTAATTAAAAAGTGTACATTTGGAGGAGGAAACAATGAATATGAGTTCTCACCAATTTATTCTGTATTTTCTTCTTCCTCCCCTAGAATTCCGTATCTTTGGGGGCAAGGTTTTCAGCAGGGCCTTTAGAGAAAGGACAAGGGGTAATGCTTTTAAACTAAAAGAGGGTTAATTCAGACTAGATATAAGGAAGGTTTAATTTCTTTTTTATTTTTTTTTTTTTACAATGAAGGTGGTGAAACACTGGAACAGGTTTCCCAGAGAGGTGGTAGAAACACCATCCCTGGAAACACTCAACATGAGGCTGGACTGGGCTCTGAGCAACCTGATGTAGCTGAAAATGTTCCTGCTTATTGAAGGGAAGGTGGGCTAGATGACCTTTAAGGTCCCTTCCAACACAAACCATTCTACGATTCTATGATCTCTCCTGTTTTGTCCTCTTAGGAGTTAGTGATCACCAACATCCCAAAGTAAGTCTTATTTTGTAACAACACAAAAAAGAAGTGGAAAAATCTGGAAAAGATTTTAGTGTTTATTACAATAAACGCTACCAGAGATTAATATAATGAGACAGCAGCCTAGAATGACAACAACAAATTGCATTAAAGCACCATTTGTTTGCTTATCACTTGTGGATAAAAACCAGTCAGGAATACTGTCTCCACAGCTCACAGGTTGCATGAATTCTAAATAAAAACAATCATACAGAGACAAATGTGTGATATACAGTACAGCGCTATCATTCATGAAAGTAGGTATTAATGGTGAACCATAATTAAGTTGCCAACTGATCTGAGTAAGATTATTTAGAATGGCTTTTTAAGAAAGATTTTGCTTTTAAGTAAAATCTCACACACTAATATCAGCCAAAATACTAAAATCCTTTCTCAATCAGAACTAACATATTAAAACACTTCAGACATTGAAATTAAGCTATTTATGGGGATTCTGTTGATTCTTTTGTTACTAGCAAATTGTCCTTTCAAAATCTATAAAGTCTATTCTAACACTGAGTGGTTTGTGAATTCCATGAATCGTACACACAAATGGATGACGGTTTACTTCTGTCTTCTGCTCTTCCCTCCCTTTAGTCTATGGAAACAACATAAGTTCACTAACCTTCAACTTTTTATTGCAATATCTACTGAAATTCTTAGCC